GCTTCAGCCTCCCAAGTAGCTGGGACTACAGGCATGCGCCACCATGCCCGGCTGATTTTTTCTATATATTTTTAGTTGGCCAATTAATTTCTTTCTATTTTTAGTAGAGACAGGGGTCTCAATCTTGCTCAGGCTGGTTTTGAACTCCTGACCTTGAGCGATCCGCCTGCCTTGGCCTCCCAGAGTGCTAGGATTACAGGTGTGAGCCACCACGCCTGGCCGAAAATGGATTTCAATTGATTCCCCAAACCATTATGATAGATTTAAAATTAAGTATGATCAAGGCTTCTAAAAGTGAATTTCAAAGTGTTATCAATACAGTTTGTTTTTTTCCATTCAGCCCAGTAGATTTGGTGAAAAATTTAAATTAGTGGATTGGCCACATGATACGGTAACTGGTGTAGTGGTGATGTCATGGTGACCTATTGTGGTTTTTGATCAATCTAGTCAAAAGACTTGAGTTGTCTGCCATGGTACTTCTGATGCCTGCAGTTATAAAGCTGGGTGCACACAATTACTATGGTGATATGTGTTTGTACATTTTGCTTTTGGATCTTTTTTTTATGAATGTGGTTCCTCAGCTAATACCTGTGTGATTGTTATAAGTATATCTAAATGTTGATGTTTGTAAAAATATTTAAGTTATTACTGCCTTTTTTATTGTATAAAGTGGCCTACGAAGCATTCTGTTGTGTTCTTATGTGTTTTAAATAAATACCTCTTTTAAAATGTAAATAAATATCTTTTAAAGAATTTTTGTTAGGCCAGGCCTGGTGGCTCATGCCTGTAATCCCGGCATTTGGGGCAATAGAGGTGGAGGATTACTGGAGCTCAGGAGTTCAAGGTTACAGTGAGCTATGATGAGGCCACAGCACTCCAGTCTGGGAGACAGAGTGAGACACTGTCTCTAAAAAACATATATATTCTTTCTTTCTTTCTTTCTTTCTTTCTTTCTTTCTTTCTTTCTTTCTTTCTTTCTTTCTTTCTTTCTTTCTTTCTTTCTCTCTCTTTCTTTCGAGAGGGTTTCCTGCTATATTGCCCAGGTTAGAGTAGTGCTATTCATAGGCACGATCATCATAGTGCAGGATAGCCTTGAACCCCTGCCCTCAAGTGATCCTGCCACCTCATCCTCCTGAGTAGTTGGGACTACAGGTGCCCACCACTGTGCCTGGCTAACTTTATTTTATTTTATTTTTTGTAGATATAGGGCTTTCCCTACCTTGCCTAGGCTGGTCTCTAACTCCTGGCATCAAGACATCCTCTCTCTTTGGCCTCCCAAAGCACTGGGATTACAGGGTTTACAGGTAAACCATGTAATAAACTTGGTTTACCTATAACTTACACTGACCTATTTGCAATTTACCTATACAATCTTTTGCCCTTCTGTTAGAGGTAAACATTATAAGAATTTTAAGTTTATAAATATTTTGCTTTAAAAAATTATAGTATTTTTATTTTGTCTGGTTTTGAAATTTATACAGAGAGTAACAAAGCATTTATAGATTATCTTATTATAATATTATATCTTCTTATAGGTCTTGTATTTTTAAAAAATCAACCATGAATAATCCTAGCACTCTGGGAGGCCAAGGCAGGAGGATTGCTAGAAGTCAGGAGTTCGAGACCAGCCTGAGCAAGAGTGAGATCTGTCTCTACTTAAAATAGAAAGAAATTAGCTGGACAACGAAAAATATATAGAAAAAATTAGTCGGGCATGGTGGCACATGCCTGTAGTCCTAGCTACTTGGGAGGCTGAGGCAGGAAGATTGCTTGGGCCAGGAGTTTGAGGTTGCTGTGAGCTAGGCTGACGCACTCTAGTCTGGGCAACAGAGTGAGATTCTGCCTCAAAAAAAAAAAAAAAAAATCAACCATGAGTCAAAGAAGAAATAAAAGAGCAATTAGAAAGTATTTTGAATGAAAATATGTAAAAAATAAGGAAAAAATTAAGCCAGGTGGGGGTGGCTTACACCTGTAATCCTAATATTCTGGGAGGCCAAGGGAGGAGGATCACTTGAGCCCAGAAATTTGACACTAGGCTGGGCAACAGGAGACCTCAGCTCTACAAAAAAAAAAAAATAGAAAAATTAGCTGGGCATGATTAGGGTGCATATCTGAGGTCCCAGCTATTGGGGAGGCTGAGACATGAAGATCATATCAGCCCAGGAACTGGAGGCTGCAGTGAGCTATGATGATGCCTCTGCACTCTAGCCTGGGCAACAGAGCAAGATTCTGTCAAAAAAAGAAGAAAGAAAAGAAAGAAAAGAAAAGAAAAGAAAAGAAAAGAAAAGAAAAGAAAAGAGGAAGGGACAGAGGGAGGGAGGGAGGGAGGAAGGAAGGAAGGAAGGAAGGAAGGAAGGAAGGAAGGAAGGAAGGAAGGAAGGAATTAAAAAAGAAAATGTGGAAAGAGAGGATTCAGGGAAGGTGGCAGAGTAGGAAACACCAGGAATCTGTCTCTCCACCTATTTTGGAACTCTGGAGATTACTGATGACTTGCAACTTCCAGAAGATTTGAATGGCAAATTGTGGTTAATTTTGGTCAATTTTTGCTCTTAGCAGCTACGCATCCCCCATCCCAGCTCCATGGCAGGCTGCTATGCATGTTTTCCTGGAGAAGCTTGCACACAGCCTGCAGGAGCCAGTGGCGACAAAAAGGAATCAACCCATCTTCCAATTATTGAGGATCTGTGCTGTTAATGAGGGGGAAAAAAAAAACCTCCACATTCTATAAAATAATTTAAAGATGTTTATTCTGAGCCAAATAATTGTGACTAGGGCCCAGGGAACATGGTCTCAAGAAGTCTTGAGAAAATATGCCAGGGGCGCCAAGATTACAGTTTAGTTTTATACATTCATAGAGACAGGAATTACAGGTATGACCATAAATCAATAAATGGAAGGTTTACATTGGCATGGCCTAAAAAGGTGGGACATCTTGAAGCGAGGGTCTACAAGTCATAGGTGGCTTTTAGGGATTCTTTAGTTGGGAACTGGTTGAAAGAGAAGCTTTATCTAAAAACCTGGAGTCCACTTTGCTCAGTGGCAGTACAGTAGGTTTATCTCAGGTGCTATTCTTGCTAACAGAAAGGAATGCTTGAGTTAAGATAGGGGATCTGCTAGAATGCTTGACTCAAGATAAGGGGGGGGTGTCTTCTTTCTGTCATGTGATGCTGGAATCAGGTTGGAAAATAACCCACATTATACCAAATTAATAAAAACTCATTTAATGAGATTTAATCATTTTTAGGTGTGACTCAACAGGCCACTTAAAAAGGAATTTGAGCAAGAGGAAAAAAAAACAGGTCATAGTTCAGTCCTCAGTGGTCAGGTCACTGATTGCTGCTACTAATTCAGGTACAGAGACCCACAGCCATTATGGTTGTACCTCCTTCTCCCACGCCGCCCCCAATTTTTGCAAGTTCTTCCATCTGAAGTGACTTCCAAGAGATTTTAAGGGCTGCTGCTCCACTTTCCTCCCCATTCATTTTCCTCTTTTTCCCTTTATGGGAGGAGTTAGATATCCGATGTCCATGGATTGGAAGACTTAATATTGTTAACATGTCAATACTACCCAAAGTGATCTGTAGATTCAATGATATCTCTGTCAAAGTCTCAATGACGTTTTAGGCAGAAATAGAAAGGTCCATCCTAAAATTCATATAGAATCTAAAGGGACCCCAAATAGACAAAACAATCTTGAAAAATAAGAACAGTGCTGAGGTATCGCACTTCCTGATTTCCAAACTTATTACAAAGCTACAGTAATCAAAACAATATGGTGTCAGCATAAAAACAGACATACAACAAAGGAATAGAAAAGAGAGTCCCAAAATAAACTATTAGATATATAGCCAAATGATTTTTGAGCAGCATTCCAAGACATGTGTTGCAAGGTCACTTATTGGCTCAGGAAATTGTCACGAATTGTTGGATTGGTTCATGCACCAATTCCCTGTTGAGGGAAACCTGATTTGGGGACACATCAGCATAACTTCATTCATAGCCTTTGTGTGTCCATTCGGATTTTCTATAATAAATTTGAAAGAGTTCCTCATATATTTTAGCTAATGACCACATTGAATATCACATTTGAAGCACACATTTCACTATGCTGTTATTTTTACTTCCACTGTGGTTTTTTCCATTACTTCAAAGCTAAAATAATTTTATTAGATACAGTTTCAAAATTCAACCTAGTTAACTACCTGACACGGTTGAATCCTAGCTCTACACTTAACTGCCTCTGCATCCTTGGGCATGTGGCTAAATTCTCTGGGCTCCCTACTTGTCCACAAAACAATGATGCGAACACCACTTATTCAGTTTAAGATTAAATTAATTCTTATTAAGGGCGTGGCTCAATGACTGACATATAAGGAGTGCTTAGTGTGTATTAGCTTTTGTTTTCATTTCCAGCACCCAAACCTTGGTCAACACAATGTACGCTGAGTATGTTTTAAGGATGGCTCCATGCTCTGGAAAACTGAAAAATTTATATGGACACTCTTGCTTTTTTCCAAAAATGGATGAATCCTATTACTATGTAGTGAGCAGCTCCCCTGTGTCTAGTCATCGGCGACACTCAGATTCGGCTGGCACAGGTTCCCTTGCATCCAGCGGAGAGGGCCACGAAGGGGCAGTCCCGGCGGGAAAGTGGGGGTGGCCGGCAGGTGCCCTCCTCCCCCACCCCCCTACCCTCCCCCCCCGCACACCAGGAAGCGCCCCCCGCTTCCAGCCCCAGGCCCCCGCCACGCCTCCCGGCCGCCGCCAGGGGGCGCGCCCCAACCACCGACAGCGGCGGGCCTGGCGGCGGGGCCCGGGGACTCCGAGCACCGCCTTGGGGGCGGCTGAGGGGACCGGGGGACGCTCGGCCTTGGCTGTGGCTGCGGCCTCAGCCGAGGCGGGCTGCGGGGCGGCGGCGGGAGGGGGCGCTGCGGGGCCGGGCGGGCGCCGCGCGGAGGAAGTGCCCTCTTGGCCGCCGCCGGAGCCGCGCCGCAGGGGCCGCCGGAGCCGCGCCGCGGGGGCAGCGATGTCGTCCCGGCCGGGGCGCGACGACTCGGGAGCGCGGGGCGCGCGGCGGCCGCGGGAGCCGCCCGAGCAGGAGCTGCAGCGGCGCCGCGAGCAGAAGCGGCGCAGGCACGACGCGCAGCAGCTGCAGCAGCTCAAGCACCTGGAGTCCTTGTGAGTCGCCGCCCGACTCGCGGCCGCGGGACGACGCGGGCCCGGGTCGCGGGGTTGCCGGGTGGGCAGGAGGCCTGGCCGCCCGGCCCTTCACCCGCCGCGTCCCAGCAGGAGCCCGGCCCGGCGACTGAAGTCGGCGTCGCGGGCTTTGGACATCAAGCCCTTCCCCCGGGCGGGAGCTAAAGGTCGCGGTCCCGCGGCGCCCTCAGAGCCGGGCCTCGGCCTGGGCGGGGCAGCGGGCGCAGGTGCGTGGGGCCCGGCCGTCCCCACGAGGGAGGCAACGGCTTCCCTCCCCGGCGCGGCAACCCGGTGCGGGGCTTTGCCGCTGCCGGCAGGGGCGAAGCGTTATCAGGCGCGCGACCGGTGTTCGGGACCGGCAGCTAAGTTCAGCTGAGTTCCTTGGTCCTTGTCATTTCACCTCGGAGGTCGGTGGGCCCACAGTGAGATGGCGAAAAACCCCATTCTGTTCTTCCTCTGCTGTGAAAAAGAGGAAAGGAAACGAGGCCTGTGGTGCTAGTGTGGCCGGAGGAGAAGAGGGAAGGGGCTGAGGGATCGGCCGAGGGGCTGTGAGGTAGAAGGCAGCGTAGACCTGTTCTCTCCGGGCGGGAGGACTTTTTACCGGGAACCGAGGGCGGAAGCTCAGAGAGGCCAAATGCAGCCCAGCATGAAGAGGAATTTTAGGGCCAGCGTGTAGCACTCTTCACGGGCCAGCATGGCCTGGTGTAGGCGGCCGTAGCTCCGGAGGGTTCAAGGAGAGTCCGGGCAACCTGGGAGAGGAGCGTGGTGTAAAGAGTCAGACGTGGGGGGAGAGGAAAATGGCATCCCTTTACCCTTCTAGCGCCTTTGGTTGGGCTACAAATTAAATGATCATAAGATAGGTTAGTCGTAGAAAAAAACATTTTAATTACATACCCATGCACAGGAGAGCCACAAAAATAGGAGACCCGTCGGAAGGCTGGTGGGTAGAGGCTTTGGGGCTTCTGGGGGGTGGTGGAGACATGTGGCAGGGTAAGGGGAGGGAAGTGTATGGTAAATAAAGTTGCTGTCTTATGTAGTGTTGTGCAGTTAAATCTCTGTGGTGATAAAAGTTGTCTCCGGACAGCTCTCTTCCTGATACAGATACCTTTCACAATGAAAATGTCCTTAGTAGATGTCAATTTCTCTTTACAAAAGGGGAGTCTTATACACCATTTTAGGCAGTTGAGGGGGAGGTGAAGAAGTTTTCTTGCCTTGGCTGGTTCTCAAATTTCTTTTAGCTCAAAGTGATCAATATGCCAGGGTGGCATATGTTGGAGTGGTATATTTTGGTCTCCTGCAGTCATTTCTTGGGGTGGTGTGTTCTGATCCTCAACACAAACCTCAGGCGGGAGGTTAGATTAGCAAACTTTTCAGTTATCTGTGATTATATAATTAGCCATAGAAGCTGAACTTTTGTAATTGGTGATCTAAAGGAAAAAGCTGATGCAGAATTAAGGAGTTTATTTGGGCCGAGTTTGATGACTGATACCTGGAACCTGAATATATACTTTGATTTGCACCAAATACAAAGGTGTTTTTAAAGGAAAAGGAGAGGCAGTTCCTAAGTTGTTTACCAATAATTTACATCAAAATAACATAAGATATTGATTGGTCTAAAGCAATCCTCCCGCCTCAAAGTTCTTACTCTTAGTCCTGGTAGATAACCAGTAATAAGAGATGTGAAAAGTTTTTTTTTAAGAGCTCTGTGATCAGAAGTCAGCTTAAAAGCTGATATTCAGGCAATAATTTTTTACTTTTAGGGGAACAAAAGGTCTATTTTTTCTCTTTTGGATCCTGTTTTTGGGAATTCTTTTCAATCAACTGAAAAAAAAAACAAAAATGGATCCCACCATTTGCTTTCTAACTTGTTAGCATGATTTTTGCTGAGAAAAATATAAAACTTCATTGGCCTTTTAGAAAGGTTAAAATTTCCCCAAATTGGCTCCTTTAAGACTTGTTCTTCAGTTTCCTTCCACTTCTGCTTCTCCTTCCTTTTGTCATATTTGTCACCACATATGAGACTTGTAGCAGCTCCGAGACCTCTTGAGGAACACAGAAAATGGTGGCACACACACACCCCTTTTAGGTGGGGTCTTCTGTCTTTCTTATGGAGTAGTTAGGGTCATGGGCAGGCTTCTCCAAGGTCTAAAGCAGGGGTCCTCAAACTTTTTAAACAGGGGGCCAGTTCACTGTCCCTCAGACCGTTGGAGAGTGCGCAGGGCGGGCCCAGGACGAGTTGGCTGCTAAGCAGGACAGGTAGTTGTGGCAAAAACACCCGGTGGCCCGTCTGGATAAATGTCCTAGGCTGGTAGCATGTGGCCCGTAGGCCATAGTTTGAGGACGCCTGGTCTAAAGTTCTGCTCTTTAACACTGAGTTTCCTGATCTCTTTGGCTTTTGGGGTACCAGAAATTGCTTTGTACTATAAAAGAGAACTTGACCTTTGTGTGTGCAATGGCTGGTAAGTCACTGACAAAAGCTGTGCTTTTGGAAGTGGCTGACAGCAGTTGCAGTGAATGGTTATTACCACAGAGGGCTACTTGTTTCTTTGCATGTTCATATAAGAAAGGTGCAGTTTGAACACTTGGAGGCTATGGAAGTGCTTGCCACCAAGAGATAAGACTCCAGTGAGGGATGGGCTGATCACAGAGTGAACTGATTGGCACTGGGCCACCTACCGGCCTCAGAGGAATGGCTTTGTATTGAGAAGCACTGTTGACACATTGCATGCACACCTTCCCTGGGTGTTTCCCTCTTCCTGGGAACCTGGGATTCAGTGTAAAAGTGGGATCTTTGATTTTTAGAGATCTAAAGTCTATGGCCTAACACTGTGGCTCACTCCTGTAATCCTGGAACTTTAAAGCCTGATATAAGTCTCTTCTTGAGACTTCTTTTACCAGGCTTCTGTATTGGATCCCATTTCCTTCTTTCTCTTTCTGTCTTTTCCTCATTTTGCTGAAGCACATTCTGTAATTTTTATGATAGAGTACATTACAGGTAAATTTTTTGAGTCCTTGCATATATCTGATAATATCTTTCTCTCAAATAAAATATGTCGTTGGGCTAGGTATAGAATTCTAGGCCTTACTCCAAGTTCTGGTGCTTAAAAAAAAAAAATAGAATTCTAGGCTAAAATTTATTTTCACTCAATTTCAAAGGTGGTGTGCCTAGTTTTCTAGTTCCCAGTATTACTGAGAAGTCTGATGCCTCCTGGATTCCCTTTGTTTTATAAATTCCTTCTTCTACCTCACCCCCACCTTTGGAAGCCTTAAAGAACTTTTATCCCTGCTATTCTACAGTGTCATGATGTTTCTGCTCTCTGTGATAGGCATAAAAGAATGGAGATTTTGAGTAGATGTGGCAGTTTCCTCCCTACCTGCAAGTAGTCTGCAGAAAACACTACTGTAGGAACAATCAGGTGGAATGGCATATGTTTACATGGAGGGCCTTTTTATAGGAAATCACACTGCAATGCTCAAAAACACAGAGTATATTTAAATACGTGGCAAAATAAAGATTTCTTGTCCTATACTCACTTGGGAAGATAATGTTTTTCCCCTCTTATCTCATATTAGTCTTCATACTGCTCAAAGCAGGTTACTACAGTCTGAATGATTTAACAGCAAGGCTTCACAAATGGTGCAAAATAATGGACTTCTGCCAACTTTTTAAATTTTAAGAATTGGGTGCAAGGATAATGCAGACTTCTTACCTGTCATAGTCAGAAGCCAAACTACACAATAAACACACTCCCATTCACATTTCCAAGTCTGATATGTTTGATAGTTAAATATTACTTTAAACTTTGAGAAATATCTTTTCTAACATGCTTATAAACTAATGAGTTGTTTAGCCCTAGAGAAGAAAGCATCAGCCATCTCACTTTAAACTTGTAGAAAGGGTTGTAAAATGGACTATTTAGGAAATGCCATTGCTGATAATAATAGAATTCAAAATGTGCAATTCCATGACACTCTTTTCCTATCTATGCAAAGACAGTTACCTATTTTTCAGAAATTTGGAACTCTGTGCATATGGTCTCTGTACAACTTCTATGGCAAAAATAACATATTGGATTATTAAATATTTATGTAAGACTTTACCATCTCCCTTCCAAACTCTTAGGCCTCTGTGCATACATAAGACATAGTATTAATATTTCTAATGAATAGCTAAGATAGGTTGTATCATATTCTCTAGTGTGCAAATTTTCATTGTTTTTGCTAAGTTAAATGTATGTCATGCCACAGCTTTCCACTAGAAAACATTTTAAGCATCTACTTTGGGAAAACACTGTGACATACCCAATAACTCAGTTGTTTACTATGTAATCTTCAGAGGGTAGGTTCTCCTCTGTCCCTTAGAAAAGCTCTGGATTATTGATAGCAAGGGTGAAAGTAATCCTTTGAAAGGGTTCACAGATAAAGCCAAAGGGAAGTCTTTCTTGCTATTTCAACTTGATGCATTTCTTCTCCATCATCTGGCAAAGTTCTTTGCTCCCAAACCTTGGAGATGGGCAGAAGGAAGAGCATTTCACTTCAGTTTTAGTCTATTCTCCTAATCCTTCCTCCTTAATATTTACTCTACTTCTAAGGGCCTTGTTTTAGATTTAATTTTTAAAAATTTATCTATTTGCTTTTCATTTCAAAATATTACAGAGGTACAAATGTTTTTTCTACATGGATACCTTATATAATGCTTGCGGTGTGAACTTTTAGTATGTCCATTACCAGAATAGTGTTCATTGTACCCAACAGGTAAGTTTTTACCCCTCACATCCAACCCCTCCTTGGTTTCCAATGTCCTTTACATCTCTTTGTGCCCATATGTCCTCATCATTTAGCTCCCAATTATTAGAGAGTACATGTAGTGTTTGTTTTGCCATTCTTGAGATACTTCACTTAGGATAATGGTCTCCAGTTCCATCCAAGTTGCTGCAAAAGACATTAATTCATTATTTTTTATGGCTGAGTAGTACTCTATGGTGTATGTTCACCACAGTTTCTTTATGCACTCATGAATTGATGGGCACTTAGGTTGATTCCACATCTTTGCAGTTGTGAATTGTGCTGTGATAAACATTCGAGTGCAGGTGTCTTTTTGATAAAATGACTTCTTTTTCTTTGGGTAGATACTTAGTAGTGACATTGCTGGATCAAATGGTAATTTATTTATTTTTCAGAAACAGGGTTTTGCTATGTTGTCCAGGCTGATCTTCAACTCCCAGCCTCAAGTGATCCTCCTACCTCAGCCTCCGAGTAGCTGGGACTACAGGAACTGACAACTAACTGCACCCAGCCCAAAGAGTCTTTAAAGTCAGTTCATAAGGAATGGGTCTTGATAAAAGAAATATTAAGTCATTAAGTGTTTCTATATTTGCAGTCATTCTGAAGTATTAAAATGAGTATTTTCCTGGAGGTTTACAGGGTTAAAGGACAGATCTGAGCTAAAACTGTTTATATCTTACTCTTTGTGAGGGAGGAACAAATCCCTTTAGGAGCCTGAAAGTTACTCTTTGAGGGTACAGATGCCTGCAGAATTTCCTTCCCAGCTTGCTGCTTGTCCCAAATGCAGACTTGCATGCTCATTGTTGTTGGTTTTACTGTGGTTCAGTCCCTGTATGGAAATAAGGAAAGCCTGGCCAGTCTCTAATGGTTGCAGCTGAGCACAGGCAAGAGAAGTTTTCTGCTCTTCCCAGGTTATTCCTGGGCTGTGTAGGGGTGGGAGAAATGTCTTTCCTCCACTCTTCTACTTAATTTTTCTTTGCTGATTTATTAGCAAAGCCATCCTTTCATAAGTAACTTGCCTAAAGTACATAGTAGTGAGACTGAATCAGAATTCAAACCAAAGGTCTTTTCCTTCAAAGACCATGAAGTTTCTACTCTGCCTTGCTTTACTTCTACAGGATTCACATTCACACTGATTTAGAACCTGAGAACATTTTTGCTAGAATTTGGAGTGCTACCGTAAGAGTGCAGAACATCTCCTTTTATCAGGACACTTCTGAGGACACTTTTTTTTTGAGACAGAGTCTCACTTCCTTGCCCAGGCTAGAGTCAGCTTAGCTCACAGCAACCTCCAACTCCTGGGCTCAAGCAATCCTTCTGCCTCAGCCTCCCAAGTAGCTGGGACTATAGGCATGCACCACCATGCCCGGCTAATTTTTTCTATATATATTAGTTGGCCAATTAATTTCTTTCTATTTATGGTAGAGACGGGGTCTTGCTCTTGCTCAGGCTGGTTTCAAACTCCTGACCTCGATCAATCTGCCTGCCTCAGCCTCCCAGAGTGCTAGGATTACAGGCGTGAGCCACTGTGCCCGGCCCTGAGGACACTTTTAATTTTATGCTTTTTAAAATGTAAGTAGGAATGTTTTTATGCTCTTAGTTCTCTCTTCTGGTGTCTGGCATAATAATTGTTGACTGGTTACTTGTGCAAGGAGTAAATTTTTAAGTCGAACCTTCAATATTGCCTGAAGACTAAGTTTAGTTTTGCCTGTTGTACTTGTTCTTTTTTTGTAGGGGAAGATACCAAGTTGATTAAGGTAGAATGGGGATTTTATTCCTAAAACAACTGCATAAGTAATATTGCCTATTTAAAACCAAAACACAGATCTCTGTTAATTCTATGACAGAGATCAGCTCCTAAAAGTACATTTTTGGCTCCATTTTTCTTTCTTAGTGCCAAGTTACCTTTGATTTTTCTTTTCAGAAATATATTAACCTGGACCTACTATACCAACAGAGATGTAGTGTAGATACTATTAATTTCATTTTTAATTTTATTACTAAAAAGCATTGTGTTAGTTTGTGTAAGTTTGTATATTGTGCATGTAAATGTGAATGGGATAAAAAATAAAGGTCCCTCTGATTTATGATCCTTAGTTCTACACTAGAGGCAAGCATGAAACCAGTTTCTTAAGTGTCCTTCCAGAGATAGTCTGTGTGTGTAAAGGTGTATTTGTATTTGTGCCCACCTCAGAAATGTCACAGGTGTGGTTCCAGATCATAGCAATAAAATAAATATTGTAATAATGCAGGTTACACAAATTTGGGGCTTTCCCAATACATACATAAGTTATGTTTATACTACACTGTAGTCTGCTCAGTGTGCAATAGCATTATGCCTAAAAAATGCACATGCCTTAATTATTAATAAAAATACATTATTGCTAAAAAAATGGTAACAATCATGAGAGCCTTCAGTGAGTGGTAATATTTTTTTTACTGATGGAGGGTCTCGCCTTGATATCAATGGCTGCTGACTGTTCAAGGTAGTGGTTGCTGAAGGTTCGGGTGGCTGTGGCAATGTCTTAAAATAAGACAACAATGAAGTTTGCCACATCACTTGCCTGCCTTTCATGAAAGATTTCTCTGTAGCATGTGATGCTGTTTGATAGCATTTTACCTGCAGTAGAACTTCTTTCAAACTTGGAGTCCTTCCCCTCCAACCCTGCTGCTACCTTATCAACTAAGTTTATGGAATATTTAATATTTTAAATCCTTTGTTGAAGAGACCTGAGATGTTCAGTTGTCCTTAACTTTTTTTTTGGTCCATTAGGCATTCACAATTAAAAGCCAAACACCCACGCTGTGTTTGATAGTAGTGTGTTGATACTTAAACATGAGCATCTGGTGTATTTTCCAAACGTGGAATCCAGCAGCCTTTTTGGGCCACTTTGGCAGAGTAGTGGAAAGTGAAAATAAACTGGGAGCACAGGCCTAATCTATATCCTCAACCCTGGGAGTCAGAGCTCTGTTGCTAAAAGGAAGGAAGGCTCCCATGTTCTTTTCCTGCAAGGAACTAGCAGCTCTTAGTACTGAATGTGCCATGAACTAGGCACCCAGGGATCCTGTCCCCCTACCCCTGCCCTCTGGCCTAGTGTGGTCAGCTCAGGCCTGCATGGTGGTCACAGCAGGGGAAGGGCAGTGGGAGGATCTGGAGTGGGAACTGCAGAGAGACCTGAGATGTTCAGTTGTCCTTAACCATTTGCACTCGGATGTCGAGTGTGGATAATGAGAAAAAAGCAAGCGAGTGCAAAGGGTTAAATTTCTTTTGGCCCATTAGGCATTCACAATGAAAAGCATTCACAATTGAAGGCATTCACAATTAAAATAGAACTTCTTCAGGCCCATGGTTGAGGGCCCTTTGGGACAGACCTTTTCCTCTTGCCCTGCCCGTCCTCCCCCGAGTTACCCTGGACCATGTTGGAGCAGAGCGCACCCCCTGCCCCCAGGAGCCTGTTCAGTGTTGAGTAAGTCGACGTTATGCTAGATCAATAACCTGACATAACCACGATGACATTTGGGGACCAGACTAGTCCATGGCAAGTTCTCTGGCAATCTCTCACTTTCCCTTTTCCCCAAAATAAAATGATTGTGCTGAGACAATATGTTAGCTTTTTTTTTTGAGACAGAGTCTTGCTTTGTTGCCCAGGCTAGAGTGAGTGCCGTGGTGTCAGCCTAGCTCACAGCAACCTCAAACTCCTGGACTCAAGCGATCCTCCTGCCTCAGCCTCCCAGGTAGCTGGGAATACGGTCATGTGCCACTGTGCCCAACTAATTTTTTCTGTTTTTAATTGTTTGGCTAATTTCTTTCTATTTATAGTAGAGACAGGGTCTTGCTCTTGCTCAGGCTGGTTTCGAACTCCTGACCTTGAGCAATCTGCCCTCCTCGGCCTCCTAGAGTACTGGGATTACAGGTGTGAGCCACCACCCCCGGCCCGTTAGCTATTATTTTAATGATTTAAATTGTAGATCTCTGCAGGTTGTGGTAAAGCATCAGTTTATTTATATGGAATCCTGAGTGCTGGGCATATTCTATTAACTGTTTTAGATATAATGCAGTATGTTATGTTCCCATTAACATGGTTGGTGAAGTCTTGTTTTTTGTTTTCTAGTTATGAAAAACCTCCTCCCGGCCTCATCAAGGTTAGTGTGAAGTTTGTACTCTTGGTTATTCTAGTAGACATACTTACAGACTCATTAACTTGTTATGAAAAATGGTTGCATAAGGTTTAAATCTCCTTATCATGAAAACCCTGTTTCTTCTCTGCAGATGCCAGATGGGTCATAATTTTTGGCTTTGACACTCGCCTGTGCCTTAGTGGAAATTTTATCACCTGGTTTCCCTTCCCTAAGGAGGCAGTGCAGGCTGAGTGTGTTCCTCAGCCATGACTGGTGACGGCATCTTCTCTAAGCTCTGCTGCCCCGTTTTCCTTGTCTGCCTCACCTGGCTCAGCCCTCTGGACACCCTCTGCTGGTTTCTTAAGTACCAACAGCTCACAGAACAGTAAAGTCTGTGGGGACCTAAGAGCTCCTCTAGTTCAGCCTCTCTGGCTATGGAGGCTGCGTGTTTCTGCAGAGGGAGTCAGAGTGGCAGGCAAAGGCCAAGAAAACTTGTGTTTGGTAACTTTCAGTAAAAAAAAAGATTCTTAACAAATATTCTGTTGTAAATTTAATATTCATGGAAATCTTTTAAAAATTCAGAAAGTTTAAAAAATGCATTAATTATAAATGTAGTTATTCAGTTGTGAAAAGGCCCATCAGAGATACAACGTGTATGTGACTGTAAAACATGACTGTGGCCTTCAAGGTATAATAAGCTACTTTATTATAACATGCCATCTTTATTATTCAAGAAAACCTTATTTACTTTAATTCTTCTATCTTGCCTCATTCTACATTTTTAGGCAGTGAAACTTTTTTTTTTTAATCTCAGGATCTAATTCACCTCAACATTTGGAGCTTACCATTCATTTTGATATGAAGCACAGATTTCTTTTCTGCCTCACCAGTAATTTTTCTCCAAGAACAGCTATGTCATTTTTGAGGTATAGTTCTTCCAGTACATTTATTTCCTGCTTTTTCAGTCAGGTATAACTTGCCTTTCTTTCTAGTTCTTGAGGGGTCATTAAGGATGATGTTAGGACCCGCAGCCCATGAGAGAGCCAGGTGACGGTGGGCTCCAAAGCAGGTGGGAGAGAATTCCAGTGCTCTTTTGCCGTGTTGTTTACACCTTGTTTCCTTTGTTTAGGAAGATGAGACGAAGCCAGAAGACTGTATACCAGATGTACCAGGCAATGAACATGCCAGGGAATTTCTGGCTCATGCGCCAACTAAAGGACTTTGGATGCCGCTGGGGAAAGAAGTCAAAGTTATGCAGTGTGAGTGTGGGAAGGTTTCAAGTAACGCTCCCCAATCCATGCAATTTACGTACTGCAGTCTACAAAGTATGTTTACTTCTTTTACTTAACTTGTTCTCACCACAGTCCTCTTAAAGTCATGGCATGGTCTCCTTTTTCTTCCTTTTCCCTTGGAAGCCAAGGGAAGAGGGAGAGCAAAGCTTTGACGCCAGGGCCTCTGATTCTAAGTCCACAGTCATTCCTCAGGACCAGCCTTGGGAGTGCACTCTTCAGTAATACCCTGTAATGAAAAGGACATCCCGTGTAGAAATGCTATGGAAGTGAGGGATGCACTGGAGGGAAGGTCTCTCCATCGGTCACCTTTTATCAGTGGTGTAAGCACTATAACCTTACAGAAGCCACCACAGGCCCCAGGGGGTGGGTCTCACAGGTTGAACTCTATGCATATTCCCTGCCTCACCATAGCAGTAACACCTTCAAGAGTCTAACAAAACACTCTTCAAAAGAGTAAAGCTCTTTTAGTTGGTTATTTTGATGTTTATCTCAACCTCATACTTGTATTACTGTTCCTGGAGTTTCAGGTTTAGGCATAATTTGGTACGTTGTGCAGAGTTTTCTCTCCTGCTCTCACCACACACAACAGCCCTTGTTATTTCTTATTTTCCTGGTAATTATATTGTAATTTTACTTAGATATGTCTTCGGTATTCATTAGGATTATGTTCAGAGCTAAGTCATAATCTGCATAGTGTTCCCCCTCCCAAAATTAATGGTGGTTTTGTTTTTGTTGTTGTTGAATTTTGTTTTATTGTTGTTATTGTTTTTGCTTTCCATGTGCTGATCTCTAATTCAACCTCAAATTGTTCCCAAGCTTCAGACTTAAGATCTTCAATTCAAATACTTGAGATATTCTGTCAATTTCATCTTTGTGAAGATGGCTGCTCCCATACATATGGACTGAATGTTAGTTTCCGCCCCCCCCATTCCATAATTTATATGATGAATTCCTAATCTCTAATGTGATATTTGGAGGTGGGGCCTTTGGGAAGTAATTAGGGTTAAGTGAGTTCATGAGGGTGGGGCCCTCATGATGTGATTAGTGCCCTTGAAAGATAAGATGCTAAAAATGTCCCTCTCTCCCTCTCCTTTTCTTTCCCTTTCCTTCCCCCTCTTCAGAGTTGCCCCTGGACTTTTAATCAACCATCTTTATTTTAATTACCCCTTCACTTCTATTTTCAGAAGTATCTGGTGCTACCAGTTGTTTTTGGAAGTTCTACAGATAGAAATTGAGTTGGTTCTCAGTTCTTACCTCTGCTGCCTTAGAATTCGGCTTTCTGTGGGTCAACTATTCATATAGTATTCATCTAGCTGCATTATAATGTTCCACATCTTTTTGTATTTGACTCTTTTTTTGGTTTTTGTTTTAATTTTAATTTTTTTTTCAGAAAACATGGTGATGGGATTGACTCTTTTTTGGCTTTTCTGTTGTGTGTTTATGGCTTTTTAAAAAATATTTTTAATGTGGTTTATTTTGTATATCATGAAAATCACCTTGAAACAAGTGCATAATGCAATGATTTTTAGTAACTACTGAGTGTGTGCAACCATTACCACAAATAAGTGTTACAACATTTTCATCCTCTCATCAACCCGTTTCCAGTTCATTTCCATTTGCAGCTCCAGACAACCATTAATCTACTACCTTAATGAATTGGTTTTTCTGGACATATCATATTAATACAAATGGATTCATATTATTTTTGTTTTCTTTCACCTGTGATCTGTCTTCTTTCATTTGGCGTAATGTTTTTAAGGTCTGCCGATGGCATAGTTCATTATTTCCTCCTTCTGCTTACCTTTGGTTTGGGTTACCCTTTCTCCTGATTTTTAAAATGAAAGCCTAAATTATTTATTTGAGATCTATCTTCTGTTCTAATATAGACATTTAAAGCTATAAATTTCCTTCAAAGCATCACGTTATCTGCATTGCATAGATTTTGATATGTTGTGTTTTAACTTCCATTCAAATCCAAATATTTTCTAATGTCCCCTTTGACCCATGAGTTTTTCCAAGTGTGTTGTTCCATTTCTACAAATTTGTGAAGTCCTCAAATTTCCTTCTATAGTTGCTTTATAATTTGAGTCCATTGTGGTTGTAGGACATACTTTGTATAGTATAAATCCTCTTAAATTTATTAACTCTTATTTCTGGATAATGTTCCATGTCAGCTTCAAAAGAATATTTATGCTCTTATTGAGTGGTGGAGTATTTTATAGGTTCAGCTGGTTTATATTGTTACTTAAGTATTAAAATTTGTTGTTGGTCTCTAGTTCTTTTATCCATTATTGAATAAGGAATATTGAAATCTCTAATATAATTATTATTCAATAATTCAATTCTGTCAGTTTTTGTTTCATCCTTTTGGCTTTTAACAGTTTGCCTATCATATATCTAGGTGCAGATCTCTTTTAACCTATTTGGAGTTTGTTCCACATCTCAGATTTGTACATTGGTTTTCATCAAATTTGAGAAGTTTTGAGCCATTGTCACTTCAAATATTCTTTCTACCCTTTCTGTCACTGTACTTCTGGGACTCTTATTATGTGCAAGCTGTTAAACTTGAGGGTATACTCAGGTGTGTGTGTGTCTGGGCATTTTTTTTTTTCCATTCTTATTTATGTTTTTCAGGGTGCATGTTTGTTGATTCTTTGTTCTGTCATTTTGAACCCACTGTTAAGATCCCCTAGTGAATTTTTCATTTCCTTTATTGTACTTTTGAAGTCCTGAATTTCTATTCAATTCTTTCTATAATGCATATTTATATATTGATAATTTTTATTTTGTGAGACATCATTTTCATATTTTCCTTTAATTCATTAGACATGGTTTCTTTTATTTCTTTGAACTTGTAACAACTGATTTAAAATTTTTGTCTGGTAAATCTAACATCTGGACTTTACACTTTCTGTGTTTTGTAATTTTTTGTTGAAAACTGGATGTTTTGGATAATATAATGTGGTGACTTTGGAAATCAGATCATCAGATCATTCCCTCCTATCCAGAATTTCTTGTTGCTTTTTGTATCTTTACTAACGTTCCTGGATTAACTCTTTAAATCTGTATTCCTCATAGTGTATGGTCTTTGATGTCTGTGCTCAGGTAGCTTAGTGATCAGAAATTTGCTTAAATGGATCTAAGGATCCTTCTCCCCTTTTCCAAGAGATCACATATATGTATTGGAGTGTGCATTCAGTGCTCAGGCAGCTTACATGACTGCCTTTGCCTTCACCACTTCCTTGGTTGCACAGAGCCTCAAGGTCAGACAAAAGTTATAGAATAGGGCCTTCTCAAGCCTTTACTGTGTGTGTGCACATAGCCTTGCACACATATGCAACATTCAGATGCCGCTGATTATGTCAGAACTTTTGAAAACCCCCTTCACATATCTTATTCTCCTGATCTTTCTTTTAAATTTTTGGCTGGGTTCTTGTTTGCTCAACTGAGAGTGCAGCATTAGGCAGCTATGATGTTAAACAGTTGCAGGTGATTGTTTCCAGCAAATATCCTGGGATCAGGATTTTCCTGTAGAATGAGCATCAGGACTAGGCAAATAACAGCACCCTATACGTATGACTTTTCCAGGGAGCTGTGAGACAGGTCAAATAGTGACAGTGCTTTGAGGTTAGGGCTTTTTGAGTGGCTCAAAATTCAGTATTCCTCCTTGGATAGCTTCAAGCCTGCTGATAATTTCAAGACTATTGCAGAACTGCAGGGGAGCAGATTGGGAGTCACCGAGTTAAAATAATCAGAAATCCCATTGTTCGGCTGGGTGTCATGGCTCATGCCTATAATCCTAGCACTCTGGGAGGCTGAGGCGGGAGGATGGTTTGAGCTCAGGAGTTCGAAACCCACCCGAGCAAGAGCAAGACCCCATCTCTACTAAAAATAGAAATAAATTAACTGGCCAACTAAAAATATATAGAAAAAAATTAGCTGGGCATGGTGGCGCATGCCTGTAATCCCAGCTACTTGGGAGGCTGAGGCAGAAGGATCGCCTGAGCCCAGGAATTTGAGGTTGCTATGAGCTAGGCTGACACCACAGCACTCTATCCGGGGCAACAGTGAGACTCTGTCTCAAAAAAAAAAAAAAAAAAAAAATATATATATATATATATATATGCCAGGCATGGTGGCACATGCCTGTAGTCCCAGCTACTCCAGAGGCTGAGGCAGGAGGATCACGTGAACCCAGGAGTTTGAGTTTGCAGTGAGTTAGGCTGATAACATTGCACTCTATCCCAGACAACAGAGTGAGACTCCATCTCAAAAAAAGAAATCCCATTGTTCATACTGAGGGTTAGTAGTTTTTCTAGAACTAATGCTTCTCAGATTGTCCCAATCCTTTGGTTAACTCCCAAGGTTTTAAAAAAGTTGATTTGTACAAATTTGCAACTATTTTCATTGCTTTAAGGGAGGAACAGATTTATGGAGGTTGATACTTGGCCATTTATCAGGTAGCTCCTAGCTTATTCCTTTGTAAAGGAATTATCTTTGTTATTATATCATTTTTATGGAATCTCAGGAAGGCAAGGAAAAAAGATGTGTATGTTTAGTCTGCCATCTTTACTCAGAAGTTGATAGAGGTTTTTTGGGGTTTTTTTTCTTTAAAGCTTAAAAACCACAGCTCTATTTGATCAGGTGCTTAGTTGTATTTCACTTTAAGATTTTATATTTCTTTTCATTGACTTGAAAAATAAGAGGATTTGGGTTGAGACCAGAGCCAGTTTGCTATGTAGTTAATGAAGCTTAAGCTCAAAGGCCTGTGGGTACCCCAGCGGTGTGTTCATATGGTCTTATGATATAAAACTTTCCAAGATGTTTTTGTATTTTTCTTCCTAAACAGCCTTTTCTTCCCACCCCTCCCTGTCATGTAATGTTAAGCTTCAAGCCCCACAAAATGTGGAACCATTCCAGATGGGAAAAAAAGACACATACTTCTACATACTTTTTAAAATTTCATCAATTCTAGAATTAGAATTCTATAATTAACTAGAAAAGTTACTTTGTTATACCTATAAATCACCAATAAATCTCTTAAAATTGAGGTTGTTAGTATTACTGTGTTGGGCCTGATACCCTGCATTTCTAACAATCTCCCTTGTGTTGTTGGTTTTCCTGGTCCATGGACCACCTTTCCTTTAATGGTAAGAAGATTCTGAGCAGAAATGGTATCTTCTAGATAGCTATACATCAATCCATATTCACTGGCATTTCACATCCCTTTAGTTTTGCCATAAAAACGGCTATCAGGTTGAAGGAGTGTAGTCATTCTTCCGCGTCTTTAAATGTTGGAGAAGATAAGGACAGGGACAGCTCAGAGACCATAAATAGAGAATCTAAAACTTTGGGGCTTTTTAATGGTTTCCTGTATCTAATCCTCAAATAAAAATAAAGAGGGGCCGGGCGCGGTGGCTCACGCCTGTAATCCTAGCTCTTGGGAGGCCGAGGCGGGCGGATTGCTCAAGGTCAGGAGTTCAAAACCAGCCTGAGCAAGAGCGAGACCCCGTCTCTACTATAAATAGAAAGAAATTAATTGGCCAACTGATATATATATATAAAAAATTAGCCGGGCATGGTGGCTCATGCCTGTAGTCCCAGCTACTCGGGAGTCTGAGGCAGAAGGATCGCTCGAGCCTAGGAGTTTGAGGTTGCTGTGAGCTAGGCTGACGCCATGGCACTCACTCTAGCCTGGACAAAAAAGTGAGACTCTGTCTCAAAAAAAAAAATAAATAAATAAATAAATAAATAAATAAAATAAAGAGGGAAAAACTTTCTTTCTCTTTCACTGCATATTTTCTGTAGTTGCCAGCATGGAGCAAAATTGGCAGAACTTATCTATAATTCTCTTCATGCTTCCTGACCTTGGTCAGGAGGAGTCTCCCTCACCATTGCCATACAATTTCCTGATTGACCTCACATCCAGATGGTTCTGAGAGGATGAAAATGGGCGAGAGAAGTAGCAAGGATCTCCTCCATTCCTCCTTTGTACACCACTTCCTTTTTTCCAGATCTTCATGCCTGATGCCAAGTCCACACTCACTGAAATTCCATAAAGATGTATGTTTCCCTTTGTTGCCATGGAATATGTATATGCATTCTTTTGTGCATATCTTCTCCATGTTCCTCATCAAGGCCTTCAGCTACTTCTTCAGCCTCTTTAAACAGGACAGTTTCCCTATTCCTCAGATGAAGTTGTACTAAGGTTCTGATGGCATTAACATTTTAAGCGAACTTGTGATTTTTTTTTTACTTAAGGGTGAGTGATCTGTACAGTGGTTCCCCTAATCTGAAAAACAAGCTATTCTAGTGACATAAATTTATAAATGACAATCAGAGACACTAGATTAATAGAAAATATTTACTTTTAAAAACAGTGAAACACATGTAAAACAGTCATCTTTTGCAGTAATATTGTATTGGATTTCTTTAGATATACTTGACGATGATAAATTTATTCCTAAAGCTACAAGATTGAAAGATGCTTGGGGAAGCAATTAGTTATCTCTGTTTTCTGAGAAAATGATTCATCCATAATTGCATTTTCTTTTAGAATTGGAGTTTAATGAAGAAAAACTTAAATATAATAGACTGATTCTTTATCTTGATTAGGTGAAACTATGTTATCTTACGGAAATATTTCCTTTTTTTGTTTTCAGGTTGGCGTTGTAAACGGTATGGTCACAGAACGGGCGACAAAGAATGTCCTTTCTTTATCAAAGGCAACCAAAAATTAGAACAGTTCAGAGTAGTAAGTAAAACCCCACAATGTCAATTTGTATTTATTAAGATAAGTAAAATCAATGAGTCAGAAAGTCACCAGTGAACTGAGTGTTCACGTAAAATACATTACCAACTAAGCATTTACAATCTTTAGTTTAATCTGTGGGCATGGAACTCTTGGATAAGGAGAACCAACTGCACATCAAACTAGGGTCAAAAGGCATTCTCTAAACTTTTCAAGGCATTTAAAGTCTTGTGTTTAAAGCCTTTTGGCCAGTGTCTGCTCTTAACTACACCTCTGTTAAATTGCATTTGTGTGACAAATTAGCTCTTTAAGAATAAACTTAAGTTTTTATTGAAGTGTTCTTAGTTTATATCTTAGGACAGTGATTCTTTTTCTAAAGGAGACCTTGTTATCTATTCAACCCTCCTTTTTGAAATTCACTATGTAAAAAGTCATGTTTCATACCTAAAATCAGGTTTTTAGTTTCCCAGTCTTTAAAGATTAGACATGTTTCTGTTATAAGCTAGAATTGTGTATATTTCCTCTTTAGATGACAAATAGATCTAACATTATAATGATCTTTGTATCATAACTCACTTTAACAGAGTCATCTCCCAGAGGTGTTAATTCACTGTTCTGTAACTGCTTCTGCAAGTGAGATATGCTGCTATGTGGATATATTGGAGCTGTCAGCATACATTTGTCCTTTGGTATCCAGGGGGAATTGGATCCTGGATCCCCTTTGGATACCAATATCCACAGGTGCTTAAGTTCCTCACATAAAATGGCATAATATTTGTATATAACTTATACACAACCTCCCTTATGCTTTAAATCATCTCTAGCTTACTTATATGTCTCTAGCTTACCTAATACAATGTAAATAGTTGTTATACTATATTGTTTAGGAAATAATGACAAGAAAAAAGTGTCTGAACATGTTCAATACAGACATAACCATCCTTTTCCTGAGTATTTACAATCCTTAGTTGAATCTGTGGGCATGGAACTCTTGGATATGGAGAACCAACTGCACATCAAACTGGGATCAAAAGGAATTCTGTAAACTTTTTAAGGCATTTGAAGTCTTGTGTTTTCATTTGCATAATCTGAACAAAAATTATTCTAGCTCAAGACCTTTTAGGTGAAATGTCAATGTTTATAGATACTATAAACATAGCTTGTTGATAAATCTCAAAAAATTAACATTTTTTGACTCAGAAATTCAACTTCCAAAGATATACTTGAAGGATTTAAAAGAACATCAATATATACACAACGGTAAAGCATAACATTCATATTTTTTACTTATATGATTAGTGGAAGCTAAATGTAGCAGACAACCTGATGGTCTAACATGCTAACAAATTACTATAATACAGAAACTAGACATAGGAGTCATGTCTTAGAAGGGTATGTAATGTTATAGGAAATTGTTTATGAAAACATAAGTGAAAAACAGTTGTATATGTAATACTGTAATTTTTCATAAATTGTGAATAATGGCTAGAAGAAATACAGCAGACGTAAATAGTAATTAACCCTGGGTGTTGACATAATACACTTTTTTAATTTAAATTTTTTAGTAATTTCAAAAATTTTGATAATCAACAATCATTTTTTAAAAATTTAGATAACTCAATTATTATAACAATTTCCCTACATGTATTCTTATTTTTAAGTACTTTATGTCACTTTAAGTTACCTAACTAATACAAGAATACATTTGCCATATTAAGCAAAATGAAATCTTCACAGTAAAGTTTTTACAACCTAGTTTGATCTTTCCTCCCTCTCCAGAGTGGGTGTGCAGTAAGTAGTCTGATGTATATATTTCCAGACTTCCTTGGGGTAATGTGACATGTATTTTTGAGTACTTTTAAGTGAATCATTCTTAGATATCATTCTACAACTCATTTGTTTTCCTTAATACTACCTTTTGGTCATCTATCCATCTAGAGCAAAGAGAATTACTTTAATATTGCTAAACTTGAGTGCTATTTTATAGTATGACTATGTCATGGTTTATGCAATTATTTCCTCATGAAGAATATTCAGTTATTTCATGTAGTTTTCCAATTATGAAATCCTTTGTGTAGCCTTAACGAGTTTCCAGTGATGTGACCTTTAAAAAGGATTAAAACATATTGAACATCAGGTTACATCAAACAGTAAAAAATAACTGGTTTCTGTAACATAGGGATTTAATTTTATTTAACTAGTGGTCCATGAAGCCTAACTGAACCTTAACCTTCTCTGACCCTTAAGGCACATGAAGATCCCATGTATGACATCATACGAGACAATAAAAGACATGAAAAGGATGTAAGGTGAGGTCCTGATGATAAAAATATCCTCTTAAAGTTTTAAATTATATAAAGTTGGAAACAACCATTCTAATATTAGAAGAATTGTGAAATATGGGCACAGTAGGAGTCCTGGCTGAAGGACCACTGTGAGGGGAATGGGCGGGCCAACCTTCTTCTACCCAGGGTAGCTTAGGGCTGTGGGCTTGGTCTAGCCCCTAAGAACACTGTCAGCAACCCACGTTGTGCTGTCTACTTGTTTGGTACAGTTGGCTCTTTCATGTGATTTAGTTTATCTTCCCCAATGTCTCTAAATGTCTGAATTATTATTAATAATTATTCTTAGACATGATTAGAGAGAGGGTGAAAAAATGGCAGTGTTGGTTTTATCATCAATTATAATTGTTGAGGAAGTAGATTATCTACTATGAAGTTGAGCAGTAGGAAATGGTTTATTAAAGTATGCATCTGTTAGAAATTATTGTAAGGACTGTGGGAACATGCAGAAATGTGTAGGACAAGGAAACAAATACAAAATGGCTTGTACACTGGTTACAGTCATGTGAAATAGGCATTCATATGAATAAGAACTGGGAGAACAGATAAAAATAGGTACTGTCTTTGTGACATTCTCCTCCCTCCAGTAGTGCTTTTAAATCATATATTTATCTTAAAAAACTTTTAAGTTAAAAAGTTAAAAATCACAGTTCTTTTGATCAATCTTGTATCTTTTAGGATACAGCAGTTAAAACAGTTACTGGAGGATTCTACCTCAGATGAAGATGGTAGCAGCTCCAGTTCCTCAGAATGTAAAGAGAAACAAAAGAAAAAGAAGAAGAAAGAAAAGCATAAGAAAAGGAAGAAAGAGAAGAGAAAGAAGAAAAAACGGAAGCACAAGTCTTCCAAGTCCAATGAGAGTTCTGACTCAGACTGACAAGGACTGGACTCGTTCAACATTCTCTTCTCAAAAATCAAACGCTGTGGCCAAAGAACAGAGGAGGATGCCAGGGAGAGAGTAGAGGATGGAGACACCGAGAGAGGAGGATGTGTGGTGTCACAGCTGCGAATCTCCTCCCCCCCCCACCCCGCTGTGAAAACGTGACTCTCAGGAGAGTGAGTTGTCTCTTTCTAGGAGCTAGCTCTGGACAGCGGCTGACTGCAGGTGGGAAGGCTTATTCAGTGTCCTCCTCCCTGCCGGTCATGTGAGTTTATGATTCCTTTGAAATGCCTGCTTCAGAGGGGCAGGTCGAGGGAATCTCTAAGGAAAGTCTTCCAGGCATCACCACACCTTGCGCCCTGCACAGTGGGGCGATTCAATTTCCATCGACTTCAGGCTGGAGTCTCTATTGTTGTTGAGGAAAATAAAAGTTCATTATTTATTTTTTAAATGTGCATATTTATTTATTTATAAATAATACATGTAATAGTCTAAATTTAAAAGGTACATAAAGTTCAATCATGACAACTCTTCCTTCCTTTCTACTTTCCCTTCTCTGATAGCTACCAATGGTACCAGTTTCTTGTGAATCCTTCCAGAAATATTTTATATTTCACAAACAATTATAGGACTTTTCTTACAGGGATACTATATACATTCACCCACATACATTGTTACATTTTAAACTTAACAGTATGAAACATTCCTGTCATTGGTATCTGAGGGACATTGGTTCCAGGACCACTTGGTCTGCCCCCGACAGATACCAAAATACACAGATGCTGAAGTCCCTTATATAAAATGGTGTAGTATTTGCATATATTCCTCACACATCCTCCCGTATACTTTAAAAAATCTCTAGATTACTTAGAATACCTAATACAGTGAAAATAGTTGTTATACTGTATTATTTATGGAATAATGACAAGGAAAAAAACTTCTGTACATGTTTAGTATAGATGCAACTATCTTTTTTTAAAAATGTTTTTGATCCATGATTGGTTGAATTCATGGATTCAAAAACTGCTGATAAGGAGGGCCAACTGTTTTTAAATACTGAGTATGTATTGAAAAGTATGAGGCCTTGCTGTCGTATAAAAAGTATGTGTTTGTATGCACCTGACATGATTTGTTGATTTGGAGGGTGAGGGATACCCATAACAGCAATGGAGAATCTTGTTTGGCCACATTGTATTTACCTTGCTTCTTACTTCTAGGGTCCCACGATTTTCAGAATGATTGACTCAGAAAAAGTTTATGGATATAGGGGGCCAGGTGAGGTAGCTAATGGCTATAATCCCAGCACTCTGGAAGGCCAAGGTGGGAGGATTGCTTGAGCCCAGAAGTTGGAGGTCAACTTGGGTAACATAGTGAGACCTGACTCTACAAAAAATTTTTTAAAAAATTATCTGGGTGTGGTAGTGCATACCTATAGTCCTAGCTACTTGGGAGGCGGAGACAGAAGGATCACCTGAGCCCAGGAGTTGGAGGCTACAGTGAGCTCTGGTGGCACCACTGCACTCTAGACTGGGTGACAAGAGTGAGACCCTGTCTTCAACCATCTTTAAAAAAGAAAAAAGAATATAGGGAATGATCATACTGGGTCTGGTACCCACATCCCAAAAGTCATCCCTTGCTTTCTTCCTGTTGCTCAACCACAGTGCACCTGTGCTCTGGTAGCCAGACTAGGCTGTAGCAGAGGCATCTCAGGAGATCAGGGTGATGTGTGTGCTGCTACAAGAGAGGAAAACTATTCTTTGCTGGGCCAAAATGAAGCCAGATCTTGCTCATAGGCAAGTGTGTCCCTCCGTATCCAGCACTGGTCTTTTGCTGCTATCAGCACTCATGGTCCCAGAAACTCTTGCGCCCATTTTCTGCCACTTCTGGGGTTTGGATGCCCCCTTTGTAAAGAATGCGCAGGCCAGGCCCAGACCAACCTACCTCCAACTCTCATCAGTAAATGTTCCTGTTCTTGGCCTCAGAATAGGACCTCAGGAACACACATCAGTTGAGATTGGAATGGCCAGGACTTATTATTTCTGAAAACTGTAAGGCCAGTGGATTCAGCTATGCCTTACACTTATCCTTGTCATCCTTCCTCAGCATGCAGAACATAGGCCATCTGTCCTCTGCCATATGTCTCAGTATTTCCTACCCAGTTACAGCCTGTTCTTTTCCAGGAATTTGTTGCTGTTTCTCTCTAATCCCATTCATGATCAAAGCATTTTTACACAACATGAAAGAATCTGCATCAATGACTGTCAGACCTTTGAGGCACCAAAATCAATTGCAGTGCTTGTAAAGACACAGATTCCTGTGCTCCACTCAAAAATTTCCAGAGTTTTTCTTCACTAGTTCTGGAGTGGATCTGGGAATTTGCTTTACTAGCAAGTTGCCAAATGATGCCAATGCCATTGGTTAGGGGACCACACACGGAGAACCATTGCTATACATCTCTAATCTCTTATGGAAGCCGCCTTCCACTCCTGCTTTCTCCTACAATCTGGCCGTCCATCCCCTGCAGCCCTTGCAAGTTAATGGCTGTCATTTCTTCCTCACTCTGGTTTTTTGTCTTCTGTTTCTGGCCTAGATTCCAAGGAACATCTCTTCAGCCTGTCATTTCCCCTGGCCTGTGATCCTTTTGCCCTGCTTACCCAGAAGAACTTTCAACCAAAATCTTCCTCTGTTCCTGTACCCAGGCTGGTGGAGAAAAATCACAGGGCCACATGGATTGATGCCTTTTACAGATTCATCGTGTCCAAACTCAAATGAGAACTGAGCCCAGAAAGCCAAGTAGCAAATCAAAAGTTTGCTAGTCATTTATTTAAACTTCATTCTCAAATATCTCCTTCAGGTTCCACATTTTCCACTCCTATCCAGGAAGACAATGTTAGCCTTCAGACCTCCATCACCAAGACATCCTACTAACCTGTGTTATCATGGTTGTGGTAGGCAGAATTCCAAAAAGACGCCACGATTTTCCCCCCTAATCTTTAGGACTGTTGACAGGCTGGATTTTACTCCCATGATTAGATTATGTTACAAGCACAAGGAAAAGGAGACTATCTGGATGTTCCTCACCTAATCACAAGAGCCCTTTAATACTCCAGAGTTGTCTCTGACTGGCAACCAAAGAAGAAGTCTGAGATTCCAAGCCTGTGAAAGATTTCTTGTGCCACATGGTGTGAGGGATGCAGCAGACTCCAATTAGAGGTCCCTGGCTAGCAGCCAGCAAGGAAATGGGGATCTCAGTCCTACAGCCAAAAGGAACTGAATTCTGCCCACCTCAATGACTTAGGATGTATATTCTTCCCCAGAGAAACCCCAACCCTGCTCACACCTTGGTTTTGGTCCTGTAAGATGCTAAGTAGAGAACCCAGACTTCTGACCCACAGAACCGTGAAATAATCAGTAGTGGTTGTTTTAAGCCTTTAAGTTTGTGGTAACATGTTACCGAGCAACAGAAAACCGATACAGAGGTTTGGTTAGCTTTCCCTCATCCTGTCAGGCCACTCCACCCCAGCCAGCAATAGAGGGCAGCGACTAAGTGCACTGGCTCTGCATCCAGTGGGTTTGAGTCACCGCTGCGGCGCTTGCCAGCTGTGAGAGCTGCCCGACCTCTCTGTGCCTCCATCCCCTTGACTGATAAGCTATACCTCATAGGCTGGTCGTGAGAATGAGTTGGTTTCATATCTGTAAAGCATTTAGAACAGAGTTTGGCACGTTTCAATCGCTAAATGAATGCGAGCTGCTCTCGCTACTATTTGTATTGCCATCATCATTATTCCTACTCCTCAGGGAGCTTCCTCCTTTCTTTATCCCATTTCACTCATGTCTTCAAACTCTTTCTACTGCTGTCTTTACATCAGCATTTAAAACTTGTTTTAAAATCATAAAAGTAATACATGGCCATAAAAGGTTCACACTTCTGGGTTATTACAGAAATAAAAAGTGAAAGGGGAATCTACTTATGCTTTGATACAGGCTTCCAGATGCTCATAAAAATGCATTTGCAAACACATAGATGCACACACACAGATCTTTTTGGTTAGCTTTGCATAACTGATGAACACCAGGAATATTATTCTGTGACTTCATTTCACTTAGTGTATCTTGGCAACCTTACTGCTTTGGGCTCCAAATGGTGACAAAATCCCTTGGTTTCAATGTGCCACAATTCATTTAATCATTACTCTATCACAATTCAGTTGTTTCATGTTTGTCATTCCTACAGATAAGACTGAAAAGAAAATCCCTGAGTAAATATCTTAGTGTACATGTGCAAGTGTGTCAGTGGAATAGTTCCCTAATAATGGAATTACATATTTTAATTTTCACAGATATGACCAAATTTTCCTCCAGAAAGTCTGTACCAATTTACCTATTCTCTTACAGGATATAAAGGGCCCATTTCCCCATCCAGCAGCATTTAAAACTCAAGACTCTGTTTATTTGTTTGTTTAGACCAGTCAAATACAGTAGTGAGAAGGGAAGAAAGAGTAGAACAGGGAGTTCAATCTGTAACTGACTGTGAATGATCGAGTGAGATAACTCACTACCTTCGGACCAGCCAAGCCTCTCTTAAAAAAAAAAAAAAAAGAAAATCCTCCCTTGATCTCATATCCCTAGCTAGCTCTTTCCTCTCCTTTGCAGCAGTGTTTGCCAACCTTGGGCCTATTTATTTCAGGGACAGGATAATTCTCACCAATGGGGTTCTGTTCTGCACACTCTATGATATTTTACAACATCCCTAGAGTGTAACCACTTGATGCTACTAGCACATTCTCTGGTAGTAACAACCAAAAATGTCCTCAGATATCCACATGCAAAAGAATAAAATTGGACCTTTATCTTACACTATATATACGATCCACTCAAAACGGATTAGACTTAAACATAAGACTTGAAACTATAAAACGCCTCAGAGAAAACGTAAGGAAAAGACTTTTTGACATTGGCCTTGGCAAGGACTCCTTGGAGATGACACTGAAGGCACAGGTAAGAAAAGCAAAAATAGACAAGTGGGATTACAGCAAACTAAAAATCTTCTGCACAACAAAGGAAACTATCAACAAAATGAAATAGCAGCATATGGAATGGGAAAAAAATAGTTGCATTTATCTAATAAGGGATTAATATCCAAAATATAAGGGACTCCTACAACTCAATAGCAAACAAATAACCCATTTAAAAATAGACAAAGTAACTGAATAGTCTTTCTCCAAAGAAGAGTGACCAACAGGTATATGAAAAGGTGTTCAACAACACTAATCATCAGGCAAATGCAAATCAAAACCTTAAAGAAATAATCACTTCACACCTGTTAGAATGACTAATATCAAAGAAAAACCCCAAAAGATAAATGTTGCGGAGGGCATGGGGAAAAAAGCCCCTGCACTGTTGATGGGAAAGCAAAGTGATAAAGCCACTGTGCAAAGCAGTGTACAAGTT